GCTTTCTGTGTTTGTAGGTGACGCATAGTACCACATCAATGAGGGAAGACTTAATTAATTCACCACTCTGATTTTAAACTAGGAACGCTGCTATGCCCAAGTGGCTGAAGTTAGGAAGTGCAATTTGTTTGCACCAAAAAAAACCTGTTTTTTCCAGGACCTTAATGGCATCACTGGCTTCACTCTGCCTCAGACTGGAACCTTTTCTATCGGACTCTGTGAACAGACGCAGAGGACGGTGTTTCTCAGCCACTACTGCAGTTAAAGTTAAAAAATATATATCTATATATTTTATATTTGTTCGTCTACATTAATTCCCAGCCCCAGAGATTTCAGCTGATGAGGAACTAAAATTTCAGGTGACACTGGCGTCAGAGATCAACTAACATTTGTCATTTCCTGTCAGGATTTTCTCTTTTCTTCAGATAGTATTTCTATTTCTAATCCTAACTATAAATTGGTGGAGGATTTTTTTTTTTTTTTTTGCTTTTGCTCTGTGGTGTGAAAGTTGACAGTGATGGTCTTTTTATGGAGAGACCTGTGGAGTCACTCAGTCAAAGTTGTGTCTGTCAGCAAAAAAAAAGGTCTGTTTCTATGGCAACAACTCTCTCCTTCCAGCAGCAGAGAACCTGATAAACAGGTCAGTCTCCAGCACGGAGCAGAGAGGGAGCTGCTGTGGAGTGGAAGCACACGGACGTAGGGATTAGGATCTTGTCTGTTGAGGTCAGGTGGTCAGATTTACAGTCCAGGTCCAGGTCCAGGTCCAGTTTTTAGTCCTGAGGGTTTCAGTCTGTGTCCAATAGAACTGTGATCTGACAGAATCCTTTCTGATGATAAATGGCACCAAAATGTCAAAATACAAAAAAAAGATTTTTTCAATATTATTTTCATTATTACTGTGATAAAAGGGGAATTCCAGTCCGCAGCGTTAGCCTAGCTTACTAAATAAATAAATAAACAAACAAACAGGAGAGGGCAGCCAGGTGCTGACTGGCGTTTTTTTTTTTTTTTTTTTCCATCCTGCATGCTAAGCTGAGCTAATCTCTGCTGTTGAATTATATATAATGTACAGATGTGAGTTGTGTTGTAACAGAGTCAG